GGGGGGGGGGGGGGGGGGGGGTTGCCATTAATCACTTTGAAATTAGATAAAAACATTTTAACTGAATATACTAAAACAAATTGTTCTTCAGCAATTTGTTTAAAATTAGATGCTTTGCCCAGCATTTCTTCCAACATCATTCCTTCTCCCCTTCTGTCATGGCTTTTCTCATATCTGTATCAATAAAGGGAGGGCAGCAAAGGGAAATGTAATAGAACGCCAATCTTCAAAAAGCTGAAGCCTGCAATTTAAAGCTTCTAACATTACATAAGGAGCAAGGAGAGAGAGAAAGAGGGGAAAAAGAAAGAATAGTACTGCAGTGCCCCTTCCTAAAATCAGAATCTATTGCAAAACCATAAGATCTTACTGAGATGCCCATATGCCTTTATAGTTTTGTCTGCTCTGTTGATAGCTTCCCTCCCTGTTTTTATTTTTCTCCATTACATTTGGAGGGTCAAAAGGAGCGACAGTGATTAAGATGAACTGGGTATGCAACTGCTAGTACATCTGCAGTCTCATGCAGGACTCAAATGCTCATCAGGCTTATGCTACAAAACCTGTAAAGAGGAGACAAGCAAAGCCAACATGAAGATGCAATTTCCACCGTAAGTGCTAGAACCTTCAACTGGTATTAGGCGCTCTGCATAGCAACAGAATAGACCCGTGTCTATAAAAAACTAATGGATGGAGCACAGAATTAGCTTAAGTCTAAACAGGACCAGACAATACCATTTTAACAAGGCACACCTGCCAGAAGTGTAGCTGCATTACAAAGCCCTATGCACACACCCAATAAGCTCTGAATCAAAAAAAAAAAAGCTGCGTGGAACTTCTGTTAATGATTTATCTTTCAAAGATCTCACTAGATTTTAGGGTGCGAAGTCTATCTAGTTAATGGACATATTTATTTTATTCTCCATTAGAAATAAAAATATTATCCATTAAACCATCTGAGATGCTCTGCATACATATAAAAAATGAAAACTCTCAAAAGGCACCAGGGAGGATTTAAGACATGTTACAAGTATTCCAAGAAAAGAATTCAGGTAAATCACTGACATTCCTGAATATTAAACTTGAATATTACCATTTAGTAAATATCCTGATACCTGAGGAAAAGAACAAGCAGAGAAACATTCAAAAGGAAGAAACCGTGCAAAAGATGGGAAGAGACCCATGCCAAAAGTGGAAGAAAATGTTCCTTTTCCCAGCCACTACATGAAGGCATTTTAAAATTGTTCCAAAACTATTAGCCAAAATCTAAGGTTTTTTAAACAGAAGTTGCACTATATTTTATTATTATTAAATCAGTGCAAACTTGTGTGGACAGTGAAATTAATTTACAACAAAATGTTGCCACTGATCAAGAAGTGGTCCATTTTATGAAAAAATTATAAAAACATGAAACCTAAAGAAGTTGATTTCTTTTAAAAGCAGTTGCCTCAACCAAATCATAATGCAGCAGTATAACTGAAATACACTCCATTAATAATCTTATATTCCAGATAGGCAACCTGACCTTAAAAACAAACTTTATTCGGTGTTTACAAATCTATATTTATAGCCAGTTAGATCAGAAATGTCTCTCTGTATTTCTAAGTACACATAACTTTGAAGATCTGGTAAGAATTAACTTCTTAAGATTGTACGTATAATCTATCCTCATTTTCTGACCTACCATGCTATAAATCAAACAGCCTATTTATTACCAAGCAGTATAGCAATGATAGGGATTTTATTAAATCTTCAATTAACAGCCAAACATACAATTTACTGTGGACCCAATAAACACACGCATGTTAAAACGAAGCACTGGCAATGCTGCTAAACTCAATGTCATCTAGGCCTGGCTAAATTAGTTTGAGGGGCAAGGATTTGTTGACAGATGTAAATGAGTTCATACCCATCAAAAGCTTTGCATGTGTGTGTAAAAGTAGAAGGTTATTTTTCTAAATTAATCATAATTGGCTTTTTGTAGCATAAATAAATTATGCTAGTACTGACTTGTCTATACTAGGAAATGATCCATTAGCTGACAATGGTTGTCAGGAAAAATTGTAATACTATCTTCCCGCATTTAAGTGGTTTAATGGCTAGTATATATGCTATAAAATGTTCATTTACCAAGCCAAAAGGAGCCTTATGTACCAGGATTGTGCCTGGCACTGCCCCCTCCCTGCCCCACAACACCAGGATTGGGGCCCAAGTACTGATACTCCAACTGCATGCTAGGACTGGGCTCTCAGGTCCAGCACCACCCCTGTATGACCCTGTACACTGGGATTTGGCATTCAGCATGCAGGGCCTCAGGCTCTCCACAGGCCTAAAATTCTGGCAGCAGGGAGTGTGGCCACTGCTCCCCTGCCACCAAAATTCTAGACCTGTGTGGAGCCCCATGGGCCAGATCCGGCCTCCAGGCCAGGAGTTGAGCACCCCTTATCTATACCCTTACAAAAAGAAATGTGATTAAATGCATCTCTACCACTTACAATGTTGACTTTAATCTTGTGTATTCTAACAGCTAAACAATACAATTTAAAAGAGGCATCAATTGCTGCTCACAATGACCACCAAGAATATTTTTCTAAATGCACACTGAAAGAAAGAAAAAAAAAAAAACAAAAAACAAATTATTCAGGCATAGACCAGACAGCCTCAAATGTGTATGTAATTTGTTGTATCAGTTGAATTTACAGACCCTTGCAACCTGCCACTTTATCATAGTACAGAAAATGTTAAGGCTAAATTCAGTTTTCCAAGTTTCTAACCATTTTCCTTACTAAAGCAAAGGTTCAAAAAGCAAACCAATCAGGACGGGTATTCTAGCACTGATCCCACCCCCAACCCAGAAGACAGTAATCCACAGGACTCAGGAAACAAACTACTGATTCCTCCCCCCCTCCGACTTCTGGGTGATGTTAGAACCAATTTCTGTCTTTGAGATTAACCACTGCTAGACTGCTGAAAGATGCCTCCTAAATAGCCACCCGCAGCTAAGCCAGCAACATGACCTCCCTATAAGGATCTGCAGATGACCCAATGCACTGAAATACAGCACTTCTGTATTTTAATCTTGGCTTTTATATTTTAATCCTCCTATGCACTTATTATTTTGGCCTTAGTTTACACATTTAAATCAAATATATTTACCCAACTCATAGAAATACAGCAATCATGCTAAAACAATTACCATGTACAATATACTAAAAGCCAACCACTATTTCATCTATTTGGCATCTCAGTGGTGTCCTGTTCTACTGTGCTCGAATCCCTGAAAAAACAGTTACATAAGTAACTTGGAGTTTCAGAACAGCGGAGACTTCCTATGCCTGAAGAAGGGCAACTGTGGCCAAAAGCGTGCTTAGAACTTTTTTCCCCCACAACTATTCAGTTGGTCTAATAAAAGATATCATATCTACTCAAATAACCTTTTCTGCCATTTATAAGAGACTTCTTCCCACTGATTTTTGTAATTTAGTCTTAAAGCTAAGGCTGACAACACATTGCAAACAGTAGATGTGTTAATATGCTTTTTTCAATGGCTCATGCAGGGTGGAATAAGATCTCAGTCAGATGTCTATCAAGTGGAATAGGAGTTGGTCCTAACCATCAGAAGTTACGAATGTGCCCCATGAGGACTTTAGTTTAGGACTACTCACGTATAGCAGTAAACAATAAAAATATTAACTCTACGAACAATTAGTATTACCTAATATTGTACACGACCAATGCATGGAAGTGTTGAAAAACAGAGCCATCAAACCTAATCTCTGCAATAAACCACAGCTACAGAGAGCCAACATTACACTTGTTCCAAAGAATACATTATTGTATCTCTTGTTGGGAGAGGCTGGTGATAACAATTCATTTTGGAAACAAATATAATTCCTCTTTAAATTTCCAGAGAATTCATCTAGGGTGACATTTTTCTCAGCAAACTCTTTGATATTTCTCTTGTAATTTTTTAGAAAAAAAGGTAAGCTGCCAGTTTCTTAACTTGAATGATTATTTAAAAACTTACAACATAAGTGTTCTGTATGGCACAGAGCTATAATGAAGGTCAGAGAGGTTTTCAAGACAAGGACATTGCAAATGACAGAAAAGCAAGAGATTCTATGTTTCCTTTGAGAATTCCAGGTTAAATTTTGATTTAGAAAAAGTTACTGCTTTTACGGCATTAAGACTGTTTAGTACTTTACCTTAGGATCAGTTCATCTCTAGGCAAAACCTTAAAATCTGCTTCACTAAGGCGAACCTATAGAACAAAAACAGAAATCATGATTTAACTATTTTCCCCTGCTGCCAAAATAAAAGAAAGATAAAGTAAATACTGCATCAAACTTACTTTCTTTGGGAGTGGTTCTTCATTAGTCATTGTGAACTCTGAGAAAGGGGGGAAAAAAAGGTTATTTATTTTGATTTGGTTCAGTTGCTGTTTAAGGACTGTTCTGTCACCTATAGCCTGACATTACATTATGATCCAGTCAGTAAGGACAGATGACTGAAGTACACAAACACACACACTTATCTACACTGCAGCATTGACATTCCAGCACACCCAACCTGCAGACACACCTGAAACACAGAGGCATGCCATAAAGCCACTCTGGGCTCACCCCCAGCAACTGCTCTTAAGTGTGTGCTCCAGAGGAGCCTGATCAGCAAGCTCCTGGATTTAGAGAGGTGCCTGTAGGAGTGAGCAGGCCTGCTTTGAGCAAAGAATTGGACTAAATGACCTCCTGACCTCAGACCTCTTAAGAAAGGGAAGTATTTCCCCCCCCATGGTTCTATTTGTGGACAAAAACCATGACCTGAAATTTTGTTTTAATCCGTGAAAGCTTTGAAAGAATTAGAGCCACGTAGTCTTGACTTTACCAGCTGCTGGTAATCCTCTACCTGTTGTGGAATAACTTGAGATTCTTTTGGGTGACATTACAGGAGGGAACAAAGTGACCCCTTATATTTTGGTGGCCTTACTAGTCTCCACTATAAAACTTTATGTTGCAGGTACGTTTTAGTAACATGTCCAATATCCAGATGTGGCCTTAGAAATTGAGCAGGGAAGTAGCCCCAGGATTAGAGAGAGATCTTTTGTTTTTTCCATCAGTTAAGATATAAACTATTAAAGTTTTCCCGTCAGCTAACTTTGTTCAAGAAAATACTGGCAACATACCCAAGTAAAACCAAATACGGACATCCTAAAGAGCAATAGCCATACTGCTGCAGTGGCACACTGGGAATACAGGGTGCTGATGCATTAGGTAAGAGCCAAAGCTACAGTATATAGGAAGAGATGTTCTCCAGCTCATACACCCAGCACATCACATGCCAGCTGAAACAACTGCCTACTGACATCCTGTAGCTCAAGTGGCAGAAGCCTGCTGCAGCACTGAAGATTTAGAATGGAAACCCTGCTGATGATCCCCTATGAATAAAACCCTTTATTTTTTAAGACTAGACATTTCCCCTCAAAATATTAAAGATGTTCAGGATGCAAAGCCAAACATTCCGATTTAAGAGGTGACAGGTATACCTCACCTAGGCAACCATAACAGCGTGCCCCTGGGGCACGTGCTTTACAATACGCTGTTAAAACATAATTTTTTCCTATAGGTACAAGGTCACTGAGTGCACAGGATGAAAACACAGGGGGCAGAATTCAAGTTGCATGAAAACCTATACAATCTGACATTCCTTCACTTCCTGTTGCTTGGTTTTGAAACCCAAGTTGCTCTCAATACAGCTTGTAGGACTGTATGGTGGTGTTTTGGTTTCGTTTTGGTTTTTTTTTGGGGGGGGGGTGCAGTGTTTCGGGCTTTTTGAGCATTAAATGTTCATAAATGTCACTCCATAGAGAGGCAGCAGCCTGCCTGCACCAACCCTCTGCCACATACAGCAGCACTGGCCTCATTTGGGGAAGCATTAACAAGTTCCCCAAATCCAGCAGGGCTGAGAGACCAGCATGGAGTTAAAAAGCCAACTCTGGATTTTTTGCGGGTGCTCTTTTGACAACATACGGCTGCATTTAGGCAAGCTGACTGAAAACCGGGCTGGAGTGAACACCGTGGGGGAGATCTCCCTCTCCCCTGGGAGCGAGGAGTCGGCAGGGGCAAAACCCCGCTATCACAGCAGTTTCTCGCGAGGGCAGACTCAGTACTTCCTTGAAGGGAGGGGGCGAAACGCCCAAAGCATCAGCTCGTCCTCCTCCCCTTTCGCTCCCCGCCACCCACCTCCTGCTCCCAGCAGGGCTCTCCCCCTCCCGCCAACTGCCCCCGCACGTGGGGGGGAGGAGGGGGGGGGGCTACAGGCCGTGCACAAAATGGCTGTGGAGGCCTCGGCTCGGCTCGGCCCGGCCCGGGCGGGTCACTCACCTCCCCCAGCGGCGCGG